TTATTATTTTTTAAATATAATGGAAATATATAGAATACCCATTAGGCATTAGATGTCCAACAACGTGTAAACTTCGAAAAAACCACTTATTTATGGTGTGCAAATACTAAGGTTCTTTGGTTCGTTGGACTCGTAGGAATTCAAATTATTTCAACAATACTGATTAAGATTAAGAGTTAAACCAATTTACTGAATTCTTGAAATAGTAATGACTTATAGATCAAACTGAAATTATAGTCAACCTACAAAATCAGTGCCTATTAGTACTGTCAGTATTTTAATATGTGGTAGTAAGATAATGTAGACATGTGAAAAATATTTTTTTGTACCCAAACCGCTCATTTAATTAAAATTCTACAGGAAGCCCAAAAACTTCCAAATTGTATCACCTATCAAATTAAAAATAGTTGTCATTATTGATCGAAAGAGCAAAAAATTATGAACGGGTATTATCACCATACATCAATTTTGAAGGAGTTGTAAGTTTAAAAAAACAAACACTTTATAACATCAAAATGTGTAGATTGAAAGCAAAAGTCCACACCCCAAAAATAATCGAAATCGAAAAATACGTATTCAAGTTATTTACAAAGTTCAAAAAATTTTCACGAACTTTGAGGCCATCTATCGGCCAAACGAAGCGATTTTGGATAGGTGAATTAGCCTACATCTGCCTATTTGGAGTCCACGAATCTGTGGTCTTCCGTTGTACACGTTATTCTAGGACACCCTGTATACAATTGTTGTACCTTCCCTTCGATACGGTTTGGCATGAAGGCCTACTGATGAAAATGCTCACCAACCAATATCCCATATCCTTTACCAAACTCATAAAATCCTACCTACACCACCGAAAATTCCGCATCCAAATCCAAGATTCCCTTTCCACCACCCGTCCCATGGAGGCCGGTGTCCCCCAGGGCACCGTCCTGTCCCCACACCTATACACCATTTACAACTCCGACATCCCACATCCCCCCAACACCAACATATACTTATACGCCGACGACCTGACAATCACATCCCAATCCGTAGATCCTAGATATTCCGTCT